TCTTTTTCCCTACTTACAGTTAAGGTTAGGACAGAAATGTCTTCTCTTTGTCTGTAAAGCACTATTCTGTATAAATAACTGAATCAAACAGCTGGAATCGTTAGTTGTCTTTATACTTAGTACAATGCAAAACCAACTAAACTTAAATATATTGAACAAGATAGTGTGCCTGTCTATGCATGTGGACCTCAGTTGCGCAGGGGAAATGAGTGTTTAAGGGGGGAAAAAAGCCATCAACCCAAACCCCCTGCTTTATAGAAGCAAATGCTAGCCTATCTGCCCCAGGGAGGAACACTTAAGTTTTTCAGAGCAATGCCCCACAAGATGTCACTACAGCCTAATACAGCAAATGACTGACAGCACGGACATGGCTATGAGGCCTGCTTAAGTGACAGCATTTACAAATGGATGATGGTCACCCTGTGCACTCAGTGATGGCACAGCACTGCCTTGTGCTGTACAGTTCGTGTGGGGGGCCAGCCCCTGCTGTGACCTTGCAGGCCCAGACATGAAGACTCCCTGGCCAAGTAGGGGCAGGTCCAGTGCGTCTCTTTGTGCCACCATTGGCCACCATGTGGTCCTGATGCGAGCACACCTTGGCCATTACGGTCTCAGTTTAAGGGGAGGAGCCCCTCCCACTCCGGAAAAGGAGCCTGGGCGGGGCAGGGATCAGTCACACCCCCTGCGCTTTGTTACCTAGGCAACTAAAGGAACCTGCTGGGCACCAGTATGGGCCTCCGTGATTGGCTCCAGCAGCGAGGGTTGGAGGCGGGAGCTCGTTGGCTGACGAGGCTGCTGATTGGCTGCGGCGGAGCGCCTTCCTGTCAGCTGTGATTGGTGTGTGGAAGGTGGGGGGGCTAGGCTGAGCTGGAGGCGCGAAGGCTCGAAGAAACTCAAGGGCCGCTGGAGTTGCCCCCTGAGGTAAGCGGCCCGGGCAGTGGGATAGGCTCCTGCCACCCTGTGGACACGGGCCGGGGGGCGGGGCCAGCTGCCGCGGGGGGGCATTCAAAATGGAGGCGGGGCGGGCGTTCGCTGTGGGAGACCGACTTCCTTTCACTCTCGGGGGGGGGGGAGCTACGGGAATTTCCCCTTGCCCCGGCCCGGGGAGAGCTCACGGCGATGGGCCGCTGGTGCGGGTTGGGGGAAGCATGTAGCGCCCCAGCAATATCTCCCCCCCGGGGCGGGGGGTCGTACGGGAGAGACCCCTGGGTCTATCTCCCCTCTGGCCAGGGAACTGGGGGAGGCCCCTGCACACTTCCTTTTGCAGGGTGGAGGGAGGACCGTGGGGGGGGAATCTCTGCAATCTCTCTCCACCCTCCCCGCCATTTGCCATGTTTTTTTTTGGGGGGGGGGGATGTGTGAAGTGAAGAAGAAAATAAAAAAGCAAAGAAACGTGTTAATCCTCTT